TGGTAGTTAATTGTGACAAAAACACAGAAAATGTATATGAAGGAATTAAATTATATTGAAAATATAAACAGATTACAAAAACATGGAATGAAAACACCGAATAATATTAAATACCAATCTAAAGTTTTAAAATATCTCACAACCATGTAGATCATTTCACAGGACAAGCATTATTATTTTGCTGTCATGCCACATGTATTTGATATCTGACTATATTTCATTCTACTTGGTTTATTATTATTATTACTTCCTACTGCACTTTTTTCCTAATTTTTTTTCAACATAGGTTTCTCTTAGTAGAACAAATTATTCAACATAGGATACAGGAAAGTGCCAGTTGTTTGTGTGCGCCACAAACTCTTGGAATGCTTTCTGAAGTTGCTAATGTCTTTTAATCTCCGTACAGATTAAAAGACACTAGCAACTTCAGAAGTTGCTAATGTCTTTTAATCTCCGTCCAGATGGTTTACATTCATATGGAGTTTTACCCGAGTGTACTATTAAAAGAAATTTCAAAGGCTATAAAAAAAAAACTTCTTTCAACAATGTTCACATTCATATAAGGTATGTCACATCCATTTATCTTCATGTATGTCTGTTAAGACACTTTATGCTTTTACATGTCTTTCCATACTGTTTACATTACTTCATTGATATGTCTGTATGTATGGCTACATGCATTTTCATAGTAATATGGTCTTTAAACTACTTTTCACAATGTTCACATAACTATGGTCTCTGTCCTATGTGTTTTGTAAAATGCTTTTTCAAAGCATCTTTACTAATAAACTTCTTTCCACAATGTTCACATTCAAATGGCCTTTCTCTTGTGTGTATCTTTAAGTGTACGTTCAAATTGCTACTAGAAATAAATTTCTTTCCACAATGTTCACATTCAAATGGCCTCTCTCCTGTGTGTATCCGTATATGTTTCTTCAAATTGCCACTACTAATACACTTCCTTCCACAATGTTTACATTCATAATTTAAGTCTCCACTGTGTATCCTTAAATGCCTTCTATAATAGCTGTTATTTCTAAACTTTTTTCCACAATGTTCACATTCATACGGTCTTTTTCCTGTGTGTATACTTGAATGTGATTTCAAACTGCCACTTTCAGTAAATTTCTTTCCACAATGTTGACATTCAAATGGTTTCTCACCTGTGTGTATCCTTATATGTTTTTTCAAATGGCTACTATTAATACACTTCCTTCCACAATGCTTACATTCAAACGGTGTCTCTCCATTGTGTATCCTTACATGTACTTTCAAATTGCTACTTTGGGTAAATTTCTTTCCGCAATGTTCACATTCATATGGTGTCTCGCCAGTGTGTATCCTTACATGTGCTTTCAAAATATTACTTCGGTTAAACTTCCTTCCACAATGTTCACATTGATAAGGTAACTCCCCATTGTGTATCCTTACATGTGCTTTCAAATTGCTACTTACGGTAAATTTCTTTCCACAATGTTTACATTCATATGGTGTTTCTCCAGTGTGTGTCCTAACATGTGCTTTCAAATGGCTACTTTGAATAAATTTCTTTCCACAGTTTTCACATTCAAATGGTCTCTCACCTGTGTGTATCCTTATATGGTTTTCCAAATGGCTAATATTAATACATTTCCTTCCACAATGTTTACATTCATATGGTGTCGTCTCTCCATTGTGTATCCTTACATGTGCTTTCAAATGGCGAATTAGTTTAAATTTCTTTCCACAATGTTCACATTCAAATGGTCTCTCTCCTGAGTGTATCGTTAAATGCCTTGTCAAATCGTGTTTATCATTGTGCTTCTTTCCACAATGTTTACATTCATATGGTGTGTCTCCATTGTGTATACTTACATGTTCTTTCAAATGGCAATTTTGGGTAAATTTCTTTCCACAATGTTCACATTCAAATGGCCTTTCTCCTGTGTGTATCATAAGGTGTCTTTTCAAAGCGGCACCAGAAATAAACTTCTTTCCACAATGTTCACATTCAAATGGCCTTTCTCCTGTGTGTATCATAAGGTGTCTTTTCAAAGCGGCACCAGAAATAAACTTCTTTCCACAATGTTCACATTCAAATGGCCTTTCTTCTGTGTGTATTCTTATATGTGTTTTTAAATGGCTACTCTTTCTAAACTTCTTTTTACAATGTTTATATTCATATGATGTCTCTCCATTGTGTATCCTTACATGTTCTTTCAAATTGCTACTTTGGGTAAATTTTATTCCACAATGTTCACATTCGTATGGCTTCTCTCCAGTATGTGTAATTAAGTGTGTTTTCAAACTGTCCCTGTGGGTAAATGTTTTTCCACATTGTTCACATTCATATGCTACTTGTCCTTTATGTTTCTTTAATTGTATCTTTAAACTCTTGCCTTGATTGATCTTCATTCCACAATGTTCACATTCATATGATGTCTCTCCTATCAGTTTCCATAAATGTGCGTTTAAATTCCTACATTCATTGAGAATTTTTCCTGTATGTATTATCAAATGTGTTCCTAATTTAATTCTGTGATTAAATTCCTTTGCAAAAGACTGGCATTGACAGTGGGTTTCATGTTCACATTTATTTTCCAGAGGTTCATTTTTAAATTTCAAATGTTCCATTAAACTGTCAAACTTAAATTGTTCTTCACTAAACACATTTCTGCAGTCATCCTCATATTCCATACACTTATTATTTTCAATCTCATTTTTAGTTGTTAGAAATGAACTTACAGTGTTTACTTTTGATGGAATTGTTGGCAAACCGTTTTTAAAAAAACCATAACCATCTTTTCTTTCTGGATAGTTATCAAAAACACTGCACTGGCCTAGAAAATAAACAAAAAAACAAAAAAACAATGTTACTAGTTGGAAATTATTAATACAGCAGTCTATTTACAACAGAGATTGGAATGAAAAATATTGAAATGAATCAACCAATTGGCAACACAATGTTGCAGGAACGTTAATTACACCATTACTTAGCCGGAAATGTTATGAATACATATTTACAGCCAAAAGATGATTTGTACACTGCAACTTAATAACTTTACTTTGCATGGACTATGCAATTTCAGTTTGGGGAACTGTCTAACAAAAATATAAACACTCTGTTATGGTTGGTTACAAAAACCTCCTCCTAGAATAGTTACAAATAATTTTAATTGTACAAATTATCGTGAGATTGATCTTATTAAACAAAAAATTGGAAACTTCTTAATGAACGTAGAGATTATGCCTAGCATGATTAGTACAATATGTAAATATATAAATGGTATTGCACCTCTTGTGTATAACAATATTTAAATGATTTTTGACCGGCATGGATATTCCACAACATACGCCCACTCACTTAACGTTATCTACCAAACTCAAACTGCTCTGTAATAAATGGTTCTTTAAAAATTGCTGAAGCAAATGTTTGAAACAAGTAAGAATATCAGTCTCTTAAAATTCAAAATTACTTATAAGAAACACTTTCTCCGATTTCTAAATTTGTTCCATTATCTATGATATTTTCCAGGTCTTTATATTATTGATTGTCCAAAATTCCAGCCCTGAAAACTTGACACAGAAATACCGGATTGGTGTCCAACATGGGAAAATTTTTAACCAAGTGATATCATAGCCATAGTTTTTACCATATTGTAGTTAATTGTAATTCATGGCCCTGAAACCTGGACTCAAAAATACCACGTTGGTGTCCAGCGTAAAATAGTTTTGCACTATATTATACTATTTGTATTGTATTGTTTTAGGTAGCTTCTTGTATGTTTTTTATAGTATTTTATCTTTGCAACCCCATTGTAAAAGAGTATTAATATGGGGGTCATTCTTCATTAAAGTGTCATTCTTCAGTAAAGTGCCGTTTTCCAGTCCCTCTGTTTTAATGTAGTATAAATTTTAAAATATTAAAGGAAATTTTATTTTTATTGCGTTAATGCAATTTTGAACATAAGTTATATATAAATATTTTAAAAGTAAAAAGATGATTCCTTGGTGTTTTCTTTTCTAAAAAACGGCTATAAAATAAAAACGGTAATTGACACGACTTATGTTGTTAGAAACCTGTTTGTTCAATGTGTATTTTCCTATATTTAAATAATGCAATCTATCTTTTAAATTTACTAAGATTCACATCTATGTGTATATCATCATCTCCGTCACAAAAAAGTGTGATGAAGATGATTCTTTAAATATTTGCTATGTTACACTTACAGCACTGAAAATTGAATGCTTAAATAAACATTTAAAATGCCCTAATTATTGTGCCGAATGTTTATTATAGTTGTTATATGGCATAATGGTGACATGTGTAATAAAAGAATTACAAATTTGAAACTTTTTTTTTTCATGATTTCTAAACCTCTAAAATAGCACATTAGCGAAGAATTACCCAAGGGCGTGTTTCTGCTGAATAACGCCAAAAACGTGTTTTTCATAAACGGTTAAATTCCTTCTGAACGTATTCATAACTAATAAAAACACAGTAATGCGAGCATTAGCAAGTGGGTGGAGCTTAAATGACGGTCACCAACGGAAGTTGAAGCTGACCTTACTTTTTGCGAGCTACAGCGTATGCTGCGAAAGTATTGCATTGCAGCTGAAAAGTGTACTACAAAACACGCGTTTTCTGAATGCATGTAAAGAAACACATTTTTAGAACGCATTCCTAACAGTGTTTTGTTTTGTGGTCCGTTTCTACTGGGGAAAAAACATGTTTTTTAATAACCGTTTAAAAACACGCATTTTTTTGACTCTGCAGAAACAGGCCCTATCTCACCTGTATATATTATCCTGCCTAATAATAATTATAAACAAACATTATTACCCTCAATTTTCCGAAGGAGAGATGATGGGTGTGTGTCTGTGTGTCTCAGTCTGAGTGTGCGTGTGTGTGATGTGACGCGTGTCCTTCCGGATGCATAGCACAAAAACTGATTTACTTCAAATGTTCACACTTTAACAATGTTATGTAACTGTATCTCGGTCCTCCCCGAGTTTGGTGCTGATCGGAAGTAAGATGCAGATTTTAGAATGTTATTTTTATATATTTTAGACAGCGCCAATTCGAGCAGTTTGTTTGACCGAGTCGTTTTTCTAGACTGGGTCTACTCAAGCGAATCAACCCTGTGTCAAATTCTGGCCTGCAGCCTAAAGGCGTGCAAACTTGTGCCCAATTGATGGGCTTTCCACGTAAGGCCTACAGTATGATGACGTGGTCTGGCTGGCCGGCCGGCGTAAAACTAAATGCCATTATTTTTTCAGTATAGATATGACGCATCAGGGCTAGGGTTTGTAATCTCAGATTATCTTGTTATAACTTAAAATATAATGTGCTCCAGTCTTTGCTCAGGGGCAAAACTATAGTCTAGTACAGGGGGCCTTCTGTCCAACAATGCATAACACTAAAATTACGTTGCAGTAGGTCAAAATATCCTGTGTCTCCTTATTAGGAGTTGCATTCATTTTAAGGTGATTAAGAATTATGATACACGATATTGACAATACTGGACTTGAACCAAAAACCTTCTGCTGTCTGTTCAGCTTAATGCTAAAAACTGGGCCACGAGGCTTTGTTAGGAATTCAAATCTGATTAGAATCATGTTTTTCACTTTTTTTACCACAGTGGCAAAAATAAACATTGACTTAATACAGTAATTGCTAATGTACATATGAAAAAAAATATATAACTAAGAGATATCTAAGCTAAAAACATTTTATCTTGTCCTTTGGTAATCTTGAAAATAAAACTAACCTGGTTCAACTTTAATTTCAGGATTCACAGCGTTACGCAAATGTGCTTCTTGTTCTGACATTGTGCTGCAAATATCTTCTCGCATTTAATTTAAATCCTTAAGTTGAAGTTCTGAAAACAAAACAAATAATGGCATGCATTTTCACATTTTTCGGCCGGGAATCAGTTTGGCCGCGATTCGGCAGATATATGTTATGTTTCCATTAAAATTTAGTTCCATACTCCAAGCCAAACCTACAGTACCAGGACATCCCTGACAACAGGTCCAAATGTTATTTAACTTTTGTTCACAGCACTGGACTGCAGCGAAAAATGATTCCCCCATCATTAATGGAACAGGCCCACGTCATGCAGTGGCTGACTAGTTTTGATTTACATTTCGCATATCTAGTGTTATTGTAAAACGTAAATCAAACCAGTCATGCTTGGTTGGTTTTGAAAGAAATTAGAACAACATAATTTTGGAAAATTTGAACTACGTTTTGTAAAATTAGGAAGTTAATTTTGGGACACTAGATCTAAATTTTGAGGAATTTATGTCTACGTTTTGATAAATTAGACATTGAATTTTACAATTACATTTTGATTTTAACATTTTTGCTGCGTATGACACGCCATAGAATAGGCCAATACAAATCTCAGACGCGACCCCAGACGTGGCAAGCACGCCTGTCAGAAGAGGCTTTGCCCGAGTATTCAATTTATAACTCCCTGCGTAAGCCTATCAACTCTATGAAACATTACAGATGTATCAGCAAGCATAAATATTAAAAATAAATAGAAACATACCCAAAATATCACATCTACAATCAGTATGAGTAGAAGCTATGCCCGAACAATACGTTCGACTTGCACCTGCTTCGGGACCTGCTACCGGTAGGTACTCAATTTAAATGAAAACCCACGTGCAAAAAGCAAACTTAGCGAAGGGACGCAAGAGGGCGCAAATACAAACAGAAAATATATCGAGGGTGCTAAAAATAATGTTAAAATCAATACGATTACATCAGTTGATCAGTTTAATTTTGAAAATTCATTGGTACCTATGAGCCAAAAATACAAGGCCGTCGTAAGCCGGACCACTTTTTCTCACTTCTATTGATAATGTTCGTATTACAATGTCTTTTTAATGTTATATTAAACCAAAATCCACCATGCGTTTGTTTTTGCTTTGGTCCGAAGGCCCATTGGTCCGTAGGGTCTTTGGTTCGAATGCCCGTTGGTCCGAAGGGTCTTTGGTCCGAAGGTCCATTGGTTCGAAGGCCCGTTGGTCCGAATTAGTGACCTTTTCCAGGAATGCAGGTTATATGGCAGTGCCGCAGTAAAACAATTCCTTACAATTTATGGAGTACAGTAAATTAAGAAAGATCGCTTTTCAAAAACAATATTCCCAAATATTTTCCTAACAACAGGCCTATATAAGGCCAAGTAAAAAAAGAAATACTAGTCTCTTGTCGCATCCATTTTTGCTGCCTCACCATTTAAAAAAAATATATTTCCTTTATTTTGCGAAATGTACGAAAATCTAACTCACATAAGTAAAATTCCTCTCTCGATACTTCGTGGATAGGAAGATGTTCCCAGTGAGAATTTCATTTGGACTATTTCCAGTAGTATTACGAATTAAAGCCCAATGTACTATATGAATCATGTCTAATGCTTCTTTTATTTGCTTTCAATGATCACCAACCATAGTGGGGCTGAGGTGGATATGCACTCAGACACCCCACTAACCCTGGATGGGAGTAAATGGGTCTGCAGTTTAAAAGCCAAATTTGCTAACCACCTCTTCCTCCTTTTTTATAATGGCCGGACCACTTGCAAAATGCTTCCGACGAAAATAAAATACATCATTACTTTATTTTGAGAAGATTGTGACTTTCCTTTTACAATTTTCTTTGTATACCAAAAACTACATCCATAATCATAATTACAAAGAATAAGACAGGAGGCTAACACAGAGTGTAAACGTATTTATAGTAATTCGGTATACTAAACAATTAACCCTTAAATTAACTTTTTTTACTGAATAAGCAATTTCTTCACATTTCAGAATGTGATTCAAAATTCATAATTATTTAACTTACTTATGGACCATATACATAAAATAATGGAGAAAAAGAGAACTATACTTAAATTTAAATGTGAAGTGCCATTTCCGTCCATCTATAGGTGCCTTAAGCATAAATTTTCTTGCCACCGTAACTGGGTCTGAGGTGGTGTAGACTCCGCAGTTGCGTATTTAGCAGTCTTGAAACAAAAGGGGGAATAATGGGGGTGAGGGTGAGGGGTGGGGGGGGGGGTGGGGGGGGGGGGGGGGTGGGGGGGGGGGGAGACTCAATGATTAGATGAAAGGCTGTAACTCGCAAAATAAGATACCGGTATTTTTTAATTACTTGACCGTAATTTTTATTTGGAGGGGGAGGGGGAGATTGGGAAGCGCGAGTAGCCTATTTTTTGGAGGGGTGTGCGCCTTTCCGCGGACCCCATCTGTGAAATTCCTTCCCTGGGCTCCTTCTATTTTGAATTTCTGGATCTGCCACAGGATAATATTACATAGAGGCCTACAGGATATATTTATTTTATAAACGACTACAGGAACTTTTTTCACTGTGTGAGCTTATAATTCAGATGTATGAAAGAGGCTAGATTAGATTTGCAGTATGGTATGATACTCGCCTTGATAGTGAGAGGCTGTGGTTCTAATCCTGCTACACACACTTTTTTTCATACACAAATAGGACATGTAGAGACATCACCTTAAGAATTTTTATTTTATTTTTGATTCATAATGGACCGTTTCAGTGTATAAACACACAAGTTTACATATGCTGTTGTTCTTTGCACCTAACCTACTTACAAGTAAAGCCCCTCTCCCACTAGGGGTTTTTTCAGCATACGAGTTACAAGAGAATGCCGAGTTGCTAACTCGACAAACTCGGCAAAAACTCGTAGGACGATTCGGAAAGCTCGGAGAGGACTCTTACCTACTCGTAGCAGCTCTGAACTCGTGGCGCTAATTTTGAACATGTTTAAAATTATCCCACGAGTAGATAACTCGTAGTAAACTCGAAGAACTCGTAGGTAGCTCGTATAGTACTCGGGGCACTCCTACCTAGCTCGTACACTACTCTGGATACTCGTCAGCGGTTTTGTCATCTACGAGTTTAGCGAGCACCCAAAAACGAGTACGAGCGCACCGAGTTGGCTCGTACCTAACTCGTATCTAATTCGGTACAAACTTGTTACGCTCGTAATAATCTCGTAGTTAACTCGGTGCTCTGTTCGGCATAATTCGTACATAACTCGTAACCAACTCCATAAAGTCGTACCTCACTCGTAGCTAACACGTAATAAGCTCGTATAGGTCCTTTCCAAAGATCACGAGTTTTAACTCGTAAAAATCGTATGACTCTTAGGTGAAATAAACCTAGGTGGGAGGGGGGCTTAACGTGTGCGAACAGGGGCAGATCCAGAGATGTCCAAAAAAAAAGGGGCCCAGGAAGGGGCCGATCGAGGTAACAATACCCTAAGGGACGAAATTTTTGTGTTCTAGACACCCGAAAATAACATCTGAGGCCTTTTGGGCGATAATTTTTTTTTTTTTTATTTTCTTTATTTTTTTTCTTTTTTGACTATCCAAAAGAGGGAATCCACCCCTGGTCAACGATCGCATAACTTACTACCTACAACTTATGGCCCGCGTATGCAGAACGAGCCATAGGCCTACGTCGAAAATTTTAGTGCATGCACATGCTACGACGTATACCAGCATGCATCAGCGTGCTCTTAACTTACAAGTAACTTACCAATAACTTATTTAACGTACGCCAGCGTATTCAACACATTTTTCATACGCAATACGTCGGCATACGCTGGCTAAATCGTCAAGGTGTGACAGTGTGCAAAATATTCAAGGGGCAAGGCTTTATAGCGGATTGGTACATAATGACACAGGGACTGTAGTTTCACTACTCCATTCCTATATTGCCGATTGACAACATAATGCTGGTATTTCAATTGCGCACACCTACGATACGTCTCCCGTTGAGTGGCGTCGGCCAATTTAAGCACAACAAAGTAGCAAATTGAGAAAAATTAAAACATTTCTATGTCACAATATCTCTTTATTTCAAAAATGTGTTTGGTTAGTATGGTTTAAAATGACAAAATAACAGAAAATAGAACAATAATATATTATACTGAAAATATAAAAGATTGAAAATTCGATCCTGTCACATGTCCCATGTATTTTATATGACTACATGTCCTGTCATTCTACTTTGATTATTATTATTGCTTTCTACTTTTTAAAATATGAAGTAATTCTTCAAATGTCTTCTCAAGTTGCAAATGTTTGTAAATCTGTCCAAATGGTTTACATTCATTATGGAGTCTCACATGTGTGTGCTCTTTAGAGTACTTTCCAAGGGCTTTTATAAAGAAACTTCTTCCCACAATGTTCACATTCATATGGTGGGTCACCTGCATGCAGTTTCATACAGTAATTTGTAGAACCTTTTTTGCTTAAATATCTTTCCACTCTTTTAGTACTACGGTCTTTAAACTTCTTCCCACAATGTTCACATTCAAATGGTCTCTCCTGTGTTAATCCTAAGAAGCTTTTTCAAATTGCCCCTTTGAAGAAACTTCTTTCCACAATGTTCACATTCATTGGTACATCACATGTATGCAGCTTTCATATGTCTTT